TTTGAAAATAATTTTTTAATTACTTATGTAATTTTTAATAGGTCCCATTTACATGATTCAATTTAAGTTCCGCCAGGTTGAAATCCCACCAGGTTTCGACATACACCATTTAGGTATGTGGAGCTTGTTCATTTTGCCTCAGAGTGTATTTAACTAATCAGTTTGCATTTAAGAGAATGTTTATTTAGATTTCATGTCAGTCATCTCCCACTCTCCCTTCTCTCTTCCTGCACCTTCTCTGCTCAGCTCAACTGCTGAGATTATACATCTTTGGACTATATTATATTAGGCCAATAAGGGCATTGAACTCATTGTAACTTTTGTTTTTTGTTTTCTTTTTAATACTTCATGCCTGTTTGCCCTTTGCTTTCTAAAGCTCCTTTAACTTTGCTTGGATCACTATCCATACATTTATTTCTCGGTGCACAAAACCTAACTGTTTGTTGTTTTAGACAATTCTGCTCATCATGTCCCCAAGTGACTGGATTCTCACCATGCATGTGTTGCTTGAATATTCATGTAACCTACTACCTTGTTTTCATCTGATCGTCTACACACATGTTCACCAGTACAGAGTCTTTCCCACCGGACATGCTTATTTAAGAGGATTTTCCTTTAAAAATTTATTTTGAGTATTCAACTTGCTATTATTGAAATTTCTTGCATATTTTTCATCAGGTTGCATTGGTGGCTGTGATGATACTCTCAGACAGTTGATAGAAATATGTGGAACTGGTTCCCGAATGACAGGTCTGTAGGTAGTTTTTGCGGCAATATATATATATATATGTATATATATATTATATATGGAATTGGATTGCATTGAAGCTATGCTCTAGTATTCTTCCTCTCTGTTATAACATTAAGCTACAATTGTCTCATATTTTCATGGGGGGACTTTTTTCATTCTTTAAAATTTTTTGCCTGCTATTGGACAAGCTCTCTCTGTTGGCTCCAAGTTCGTGTGCACCAATCTCTGACTAGATGCCTTTTTGCTGTTCAGCTAGAAGCCAAGGTTCTACTCCATCCAACAATCTACAACAAAGCAACATGAGGCAAGTGGCTTGCATGTACTGTCAGCAAAGAGGGCATCCTTCAAGTGATTGCCCTTCACACCAATCAGGCTCAGGAAGTGCTTTCTCCTATCAAATGAACCAAGAAAGCAGTATGATTCAAACTTTTCTTCTCATCATTTTGTGCATGTATGTGTGCACATATATGTGAATCCATTTGGTTGGTCAAGTTGGCAGATGTAGGAAGTTATAAATGCGGGCAAAATGGGCAGACTGAAATACGTCTGTGACAATTATTAACTGGATGTTCCCATGAGATTAAAATTTTCGAAGGTGTTTGATTGACTTTTTTTTTGGGTCAAACCAGCTTATGAGTTGGTTAAAAAAAAAAGCTATAGTGGTCTTGTTTTGTCATTATAGTTTATAAGCCAGCGGTTTATAAGGAGAAAAAAAGGCTAAAAAAACTACTTTTTTTGGCATGCAACCATGCAGGGTTATTCCCTGTTATCAATTAGGGTTTGTACCAATTAATGCCGGAGATATAATCCTGAGGATAGTTTAGAAATAAGGAAAATTTAAGCAAGAAACAGAAAAGTATTGGATTGGATGATATTAGAAATCAAGATGAAGAACCATAGGGAAGATATAATGAACTAGATAGATTTGACAAAATAATAAGAACAAGAACGGACATAAAGAAGTACCAGAGAGTAAAATTCTGGCAAAGAAGTACTTATTTCGTCATCATCTCTGCTACTTATTGGTAGTTATTAGACTTTGCATGTGCATTAGCTACAACTAATAAAGAAAACATTAAAAAAGATTAAAGGGGAAATTAGAGGCTTTTATTACTTAAGGTCTACCTAAATATTCTAAGCCTCCAATAAACCTTTTGAAAAATTTATCAAATTAAGATCTTCTTATTCTGCATCATTCCCCTGGATAGAAGCGTACAAATGGGAATCTCCAGTGCTCGAATGGAATCTGTAAGGGCTCAGGCTGTTGAGGTCAAAAGGTGATGACAAGGAAGAAGTAAGACTTCCAACATTGTTTTCTTTAAAGCAAACATTCCCTAATTTCTTGAGCCTATAAAGAGATGACTAGAAACAGGCATTTGAGATTTAAGGCACCTTAAAGCCAACACCTTTTTGAATCATGGAGTCCCTGTGCTTCGGCAAATTGGCCTGGCAAAAATGGCTGTTAACCCAAAAGCTCTATTGTTAAGGTTTTCATTCTTACTCTTCTTTTGAAAATAGAGAAGGCTAGCCTTCTTCCATTCAGTTTTTGATGAGTGGAGCAACAATGGCAAAAGACCTATCTCGCTAGGGACTTGAGCGCTGGCCCTCTCTTCTTGCACCGGAACTCGGAAAACAACCAGCATTTGCAGCAAGGGCATTGGACAACAACCTCAACCACCTCCGAGCCATTAGGGAAACACAAGGTTCCTTCCAAGACAGTATCTTGCTTCACTTGTTGAGTCTCTTCATCTTTAAACAAGAATAATCTGTAAGCACCTTAACTTTTCCTTCCTCTAGACTTAAGTGAAAAAATATGAGTTCACTCGCTATAGAATCCTCCATCCCCATCTGCTTTGAGGTCTTTAGCGATTAGCAGTCTCCAAGAGCTCCCTTCACTCTTCTCCTTAAGAAACAACCTCTATTGTTCTGCCTAGTCTAATGGAGATAGCGCAGTGTTCTCTTTTTATAGAAAAAAAAATAAGGGTAAGAAAAACTAAAATGCAATGTCGGAGGACAAGATATCTTCCTAGAGCCTTCTAGGATACGAACTCTGAGGCAGAATCACATCTGAACCCAACAAACATCAGTGTTCTATTGCTTGAAAGTTTCTGTGTAACACATAAATAGATATTTCAGTAAATAGCTTGTGGGCCGTAGCCACAAGGAAGCTAGAGATGTTATGTCCTCCCATAGAACTTTAGTCAAACATCAGTTTACTATTGCTTGAGAGTTTCTGTATAACACATAAATAGATATTTCAGTAAATAGCTTGTGGGCCTTAGCCACAAGGAGGCTAGAGATGTTTGTCCTCCCACAGAACTTGAGTCAAAAGGGTAAGATTTTCAAAAATCCTATTATTCCTTTCCAAACATAACACCAACAAACCTATAAACAAAGTAGCCATGCATAGAATTTTGGCTTCTTTTGTCATCCCCTCTCACATATTGGAACTCATGACACAGTCTAAAGAGGGAGGGACAACCTACCTCAAATGTATCAAACAACCTTGTCCATCACTCCCATACATCTTCAAGCTGGAGAAATAAAGGGTTGAGTCTCCAGCTTTGGATGATACATATGACATAACACAGAAATCTGGTAAAAGAGTATGACTAGATCCGCAAATTTGTAGCAATTCACTTATGTTGAACTTGTTGAGGACAACGGTCCAGGCAAACACCTTAGCTTTCGGAGGAACTTACTTTTCAAAATGCATTGATGAAAGGAAAACGGTAGCAGTTAGGGATGTGTGAGTATATGGTCAGAGAAGGATTTACATGCGTACAATCCTGAGGAATCTAAGATCCAACTCCTGCTATCAGGTTCTTGTGAATAATGAACAGTCTCTACAAGCTTAATAAGGTCAACATATCACTGGTCCCTTGACCGTTAAGGTTTCTAAAAAAGTAAAAATTCCAGGGTGCAGTCCATTCTTTGTGACAAAGAAAGTGAGAGTTAAGGGCATTATGGCTTGAGGGAATATTATAAAGATGAGAAAAAAAAGCAATCTACATTGCTAGGAACTCGTTTCCATGATATGTGACCTCTAATTTAGAAGAACTCACATAATGATTTAAAAAATATCTAATTTTTTGGTTGAAGAGGTAAAAAGGTCTTGCTTAACTCCATTTTCAATGTGCTTGAGAATATTCTGAATCTGACATCCTAATCCTGCATCAGAAGATTTTTCTTAATCATTGGGAATTTCTGGGGCAAGGAGAAAACATTTGAAAAAAGAAGGATCGATAAGCCAGACTGGTGGCTTGAAAATTGAGGTTGAGATGTTTTTCTTACTCTAGACTCTAATACTGCAATTTAATCCTCAAAACCCTTATTTTATTATAAGTTTTGTATTCAAGGATTCCATTAAATTAATTTAGTTGGACATCCTAAAATACATGGGTGATTCATCATTATTTTAGGAAGACTATCTATGAACAAAAATTACAAAAATTCTCTCATCGGTTGAGTGCCAACCAATTCTTTAGTTGCTATTGATTCCTGTTTTGTGGATTGGGATTTTGTTTGCCTTTCAATTAAATATCCTGAACTATATTTTGCTGTACCATATCAGATCCAACTGGAACTTATAAGATTAAAGTGAACAGAACAACTAAGTCTGACATATAACAAGTTCTTACAATGAAATTATCCAAAATCAATTATAGGTGCCACCACACCCAGTAAGATTGAGATAAGAACTTTCTACAGGTTGGATCTTCTATATGTTCAGCTTTAAAAGGGCTTCATAGACCTGCACTTATTTATAGGGAAAAACTAGGGCAAAGTTTTACCTAAAAATGTCACCTGAGAAACAGGTCTTGTTCATGAAGAGTGATATGTTGCTTCTAGAAGTTTATGTGAATGCAGATTATGTAAACTCAGTGGTAGACAAAGATCTATCATAGCTACTATACCTTCCTTGCGGATAACCTAGTTACCTAAAGATTA